TATTATTTGACAGACAGAAATGACAAGCAGGTAGAGAGGCAGGCAGAGAGAGATGGGGAAGCAGGCTCCCCGCTGAGCAGAGAGCCCGATGCGGGGCTCAATCCCAGGACTCTGAGATCATGACCTGAGCTGAAGGCAGGGGCTTAATTAACCCACTGAGCCACCCAGGCGCCCCTATATATTAACAATTTTTATAGAGACATGAGGAAAAGCAGCAAGATACACATAAAATAAAGCAAATTAAGAAAAAAAGGAAATGATAAATTGAAGCACTAAACAAAAAGTTACACAAAAACGGAAAGAATATGTAAGTCAAATCATTATGTGGTACACCTTAAACTTATACAGAGCTGTATGTCAATGATATCTCAATAAAACCTAAAAAAGAGAAAGGAAATACCCATATATACTACTTAGCTTAGCAGTAAATAACACTTTATATAGATATTGCAAATATGCAATTCTAAATTAACAAAAATTCTGATATAAGAACACTGAGAAAATGAGGGAAGGTAAGAGGGTAAGCATGGGTGACAAGAAAGCTAAAAGTTAAATTTTCATTAACAATAATGATAAAACATAAAGTTTAAATTGAGAACTCTATCAATAGCAGTAAAAACCATTATTTAGAAATACGGAAGTACATACTAGATGAGCTAGAGTTGAAAGTTTGCTTCTAGGAAGTGGGAATAGACTGGAGTGAAGACAGCTGTTTTTCATTTAGTATTGTTTTAAAACTACAGGCAAATAGTATACTGATAAAAAAAAAAATCTTTCAAATTGTTTTCCAAGAAACTATTACCACATTCAGATAATTTTCAGAAATGGCTACAGCTCAAAACCTAACCATACCTCCTGCAAATTTTGGTCTTCTTGAGTCCAAGAATTTAAAACATGTGCTCCAGAGTCACTCACAATGAAATTCACCTGACAGAGTTCAAAGACATAATTAGTATTCACATCCAATTCCACTCAATCATATCATATTTAATATGCAGTCTCTAGCACTGGCTTGCTGATTTATTCATTCACTTTATAGTTCTAGAATGCTTAGTATATGCCAGGTGCTATCCTTGGCACTGGGGATTTGGGAATACAGCAACGAATAAAAGTTCTGTCACTCACAATATGGGGTAAGTCAGGGGTTTGGGGGCAGTGGTAAGATAGAGGGCAGTATAGGAAGAATCCAAACAAGTAAATGCACAAGATAATTTCAGTGAGTGATAAATGCTATGAAAACCAAATTGGTTAGCTGCTTTAGGTTCAGTGGTCAGAGAAGGGCTCTCTACAGAAGTGGAAACTGACTGCAAACCAAATGACCAAAAGAAACCAGCCATAAATGGAGCTGGGGATAGAGAATTCCTGGTACAGCAAACAGCAAATGCATAGGCCTCTAAATGTATACCCTCAGAAGAGTCCCAGCAGGCAAACGGGTGGGAGATGGGCTCAGAGAAACAGATAGTAGCCGTACCACGAAAGGCACTGAATGTCAAAATAGTCCATCTGGACTTTATCCTAAAGTAAAAAAGCAAACAAAAAAATACTACGGAGAAAAATGATAATAGATATATTAGGAGGATATATTAGAAAGTATATAAGATGATGGATGATTACTCCCTTTTGAAGGAGGGTAAGACTATTTCTTTCCCCTGGACTATATGATCTAATCCATGATCTTTTTTCTAACTATCCATGAAATATGAGTTTTGCATCCCTAATATATTTGGTAAGTAGTTTTCTCTCTGAAGTCTTCTCTAACAGGGACATATTCTACTAGCCATTTTAGTTATATTATCTCACTGAAATCTTACATCACAGAAAGAGGTGTTATGCTTACATGTGAGGAAGCTGAGGTTTGGAAAAATTAAGCAATATGATCAAGGTCACAACGTGGTAGCTAATGATGCCAGAATTTGAAACAAAGCCTCCATCCGAAATTACTACTTATCTTCCCCTCCTATCTTCCTTATGTTCTTTTACCCTACATCATGCACAATCTGCAGAGGGACTAAAAACAATTTACATTTTACTTTGGAATATATCTGAATGTATTAGATTCTCTACGTTCAGCCTTACTGCCACTTTCCTGCCTGTGGTAGTCTAAGAGACTGGCTAGGTCTCAGCCTAGGCTGCTCCAAATGAGACAAAGCAAATCATCCACTTGTGGGTAACCAAATGACTCCCAAAATAAAAGAGCTGAGATGATGAAACCTGAAGATAATTTTCATATTTGGAATCTATCAATCCTCAATCTGTCTTCTGATGGAAAAAAGCAATTTCCACTTAGCATTCTTAAGAGCTTTTCTTTGAATAAGGCTAAATCCTGCAGCAATTAGTGTGCATCCACTAAAACTATAAGCAGCCAGCCTGCTTAGGTTCCAATGCTAGTTCTGTCTCTAACTAGCTGTGTGCCTCAGGACAAGTTTCTTCTATTTACCTCAATTTCTAGATCTCCAACATGGCAATAATAAACAAAGCTGATTATTCACATGATAGCTACCAACACAATCTGACATTGCTTACACCCAACATCCCCTCTGCTTTGACCGGCGACATTCTCAATGGTTATTCTCAATTCTATTCTGGTCGTTATATACTTTGAATATTGTCCCAGTAATTACAGTAGATACTTTACAGGATTGTTGTGAGAATTAAAGAAGTTAATAAATATGAAGCACTTTGGAAATGATTGGCACATGTAAATGCTCCATAACTGTTAGCTGTTAGAATTGTTATTGGCCCTAATTAAATATAGATAGCATGTTAATCCCCAAAAAGAGTTCCACCTACCACATTTTTTAAAGTAGTAAACAGCTGTAAGTCAAAACTTTAGTAAATTCTTATGTAAAAAATATAACAGTTAAGTCCATCCCCGCCCCCAATGATGATTTTGCTTGTACTTCACACTCACCAGCTTTTTGAAAGGAAATATATCATACATTATTCTACAATATTCCATGGAAGATTCTACTGAACAAGTCCACAATGATTTAGATATGGGCGCCAAAGGGATGATTCCTTGGGTCCTATTCTTCACCAGCATATCAAACTCGACATGCTGTCTGCATGATTCTGCCATGTAAGGGCAGTGATCTACAACAAATACTGTTTTATGAGATTCAGAAAAAATCTTCATTTTTGTTTTAACCTGTGAGGGATAAAATATATTAGCCAAATGTCTCATATATGACATTTAATATCCTTAAATTGTTCCTAATTAATGTTTTTTCCTCAAAAAGATTTGGTAGGGAACATGAATAATCAGTATTCAAAGAAATTTATCCAACAAAGGACAAGATTTAAGGAGGTCATGACCAGAAAGTAACTATCAATTGGAGGGATAAGCTACACCATATTAAGCTGTCACTCTATCAGTCACAGGCAAAATTACAGTCCATATATATTTTTTGCTTTTTGAATAAACTTAAAATTGTCAGGAAAAAAATGTTTACAAAAGTTAACTGCACTTGATTCCCTTACGTAATACCAAACATAATAAATGACAAATACTCTTAAAATATACTTCTGATGATTCTTGCTAACTGACATCAATCACATATAAACCCTCAAACTAACCCAAGTCAGCAGTATGGACTTCCCTCCAAAGTCTCAAGTCTTCTGAGTAAGGTTGAGGTGGGCCAGAATTAACAGGAAAGAGGAGTGACAGCAAAAGGAAAGCCCCAAATAAACATGTCTTAAGACAACTGCATATCGGGTCTTCGCATTAGGATAAGGACCCCAAATACACAGTCTCCCCTTTAGCTTTTTGTAACACCACAGTAATTTATCCTGTAGAACAGAAAAACTCAGTTGCTACCATCCACACTGCTGGGGAAGAGAAACTTTTAAACTTTTTCTTATAAAAACTCCCTTGCTTCGCTAATAAAATCTTACACTGAAAAGACAATCCACATTCAAAAAGCACATGGTAAGCAGAGTAAAAGTGTTCATTAAAACGAACTGACTTTCTACGATCTAGCTATTTTCTTCTGTTTTCAAACGCATTTCCCCTTCATGCAAACTCTTTGAGAAACCTAAACACACTCTGCTGGAGGGTGGGGGGTGGAAAGTACAAGGTGAGTGGATAGGGAAGACCTCAGGATCGAGGTTCGCTTACTTTCGTGCCTGGTCCTGCAGTGAAAACGAACAGAGGCTATGGACCACAGCCTCTCTGGAAAAGGCTGCTGGCTGGGTGGGGAGGGTCAGCGCACAGTCAGGAGTGTCTGGTACCAAAGACTGGGGACTATGCTTTCCCCGCTCATCTCCTAGCACACCGGTCCTTCCCAGGCTTCCTAAATGCAGGAGCGCGCGCGCGTGCGCGTGAACACAAACACTCACACACACTCGGACTCGCGCGTGCGCAAAGCCCTCTTCCTCAGCCCCGCCAAGCTGCCCTTCCCCCTCGGTGGGCCAGACGCCCAGCTCTCAGAACAGGAAGAGGGCGGAGCCAATAAAAAAATGCCTCCGAACCCCAAGATTTTCTACCCGCTAATTTTCCCAATAACCCTTTGGGAAGATTGATCCGGGCGAACTCAGAGCCTCCCCAACAGCGAAGTACCAACCACAGCATCGGCTAAACCAGCCACGGCCCCTTAAGCGCACGGCCCTCCCACCCGGCCTCCCCTTCTTCGCCTCTCCACCCAGGTCGGCTTCCCCTGGCAAAACTCGCGACACTTTGCGAGAAGGCAAGCAAAAGCCTGAGTAGATTGATGGGGAGGGACGCAGAAGGGAACCGCCCCCACCTCTCGCGCATGTCTGCGAGAAGCCTCGAATAAATTTCTTGGCTCTGCCCCCCCCCCCGCCCCCGCCAACCCGGCAACGTGGGGCAGGAAATCTCGCGAGGTTTGAGGGCTCTGCGAGCTCTGGTCGCAGGCGATCAGTGGAGGTCCTCCAGTGATGGGGCTGAGCTCCGCTGACCCCTGCAGCCGCCCCTCAACTGACAGTCCCTGCTGGGTCCTGCGTCTGCTGGCCGAAGAAGCTGAAGAGGCGAGAGGAGTCTTTTCCCTTGGGTGCGTAGGTTCCTGTTAGCAGAAGCTTTGGGTCGTAACGCCACAACTGACGGCTGCGAGGGATTGAGACCAGAGTAAGTGGAAATAAATCGAGGGACAAGAGCGGGCGTAGGGAGTTGAAGTTTCCTTTCCCAGGGCCGCCGTCGTTCTTCACATCTCTGGGAACTACTGGCCGCCCGCCGTTTCCCTGGGCTCCTTTCCCGCTTCTTGGAGCGGTACTTCTTTTCCCGGGCCCCAGCTGTAAAGCTCCTCTTTCCGGGTCTCTGAGGTGCGGAAAGTTTCTTGAAGTCTGGCCCTAACCTTGTCTGGACGCATCTTCCGTTTCTCTTTTCTTCCTGCCTAAACCCACCTGGGAGCTTGCCATTGAGAGGAGGGAAGAGGGACCCTTTCAGTTTTCAGCTTTGCAGCATATTTCATGGATAGAACTTATTCCCTCTTTCTTGAAACTGCCTTCCAGGGAATGCTACTGTTCTCCTGGTTTTCTTCCTGCTTTTCTTCCGTATTCCATTTCTGATCATGGTACCAGTATCTATTCTCCTGTCCCAGTGGAAACCTTTATCCTGGATTCTGCATTTCCACTCGCTCTGCTCTGTATTATTCCTTCTTTCACCAGAATTATTGCAATTGCCCAACACCCCCCGCACACACACACACACACACACACACACTGGTTTCTCCACCATCATCCTTCCATAGAGATATCATCCTAAAATCTGTTTATATCACTCCTTTCCTTAAACTTTTCCCCTAACTCTATGCCTAATGGAATTCAGTCTTAATTGGTAAGCATGATATGCTTCAGGACCTTTAACTATCTGTTCCAGTTCATTTTAGATTTTAGTTTCTTCTTGCTTTTCCTCCAAATACCTTAATATGCAACCATACCAGAACTGGCTGCCCAAACATGTCAGGCACTTTCACAGCTCTGTGCCTTTGTATGTGCTGTATCATCTGTCTAGAATGCTTACTCTTTCTCTCTACCCCACTCCTCACCCATCTAGACCCAATTCATAGATTCTTGTCTTCTCGGATTCACCCAGCTGATATTAATAATACCATTGGTGCTCCCAGAGCACTTGAAATGATTCTTCTTCGGTATCTATTAGGCTGTATTATTTGTTCATGTGTCTGTCTCTTGTGTCAATTTGAGATTAAGTCTGGAATCCTGGCATGTTCATCTTTGTAACAAAAGCTAGTCCAGTGCTTAAGGGCATAGCAGGCATTATTTGTATATACATAATAGGCATCATTTGTATATACATTTGTAAATATGTATACATATTTATAATGCAATAGTTCTAAGTATTCATAATAGGAGTCCTTCGTGCTCTTAAAATCACAGAATTTTAGAGCCAGAAGGAATATTGTATGTTAGCTAAAGTCCCCTGACCTGTTTTGAAAATGAGAAACTCTGTACCCCTAACACAAGTAATTGTATTTTTAGTATTTGTTAATTGAGATTATGCATAATGGAAAAAAAAAACTGCTTTTAAATGATTTTATATTTTATTATACTAGTATCTATCTATATATGAAAAATAGGGAAATATTTATATATGTGAGAAAAATATTTTAGACTAAAGATCATACTTGGTGTGTGTACATCCATGTAACTCTTCCAGTGACTCCTTGGCTCATAGGTTATAAATAACTGGTTTAAATTAGGTTAGTTCCTTGACCTGTCATATCTGTTTGAATCTATAAGTATAGGCAACTTATATTTAGCTACAATTCTAAGGTTAAAAAAAAAAAATTCTCCTGTGTCCTTTTAAATTCTGTCTTTCCAACTTTAAAAATTTAGCTTCTTCATAAAGCTCCAAACATGTGGTTTCCATCATTTTCAAAGATTGTGAAAATTTTCTGTGCTCTCAAGTACAATAATATATTGTCTGTATAAGATGTTTAATTACATATGTAATTTACATACATTCTTGATTTCTTTAGATTAAAAGTTTCTAAGAAAGCCATAACTATGCCTTTTTATTTTTCTGTTTCCTTATGTATCTTTAAAAAAATTTATTTTATTTATTTATCTGAGAGAGAGAGAGGTAAAGAAGCAGACTCCCCAATGAGCAGGGAGCCCAATGTGGGGCTCCATCCCGGGACCCCAAGATCACAAACTAAGCCAAAAGCAAACATTTAACTGACAGAGCCACCCAGGCGCCCCTCAATATGTATCTGTTAATATTATCTACTAATTAATATTTGCAGTACCTGCCTGAGCAGTCCAATAAATTTTTTTAACTAAACTTGGTTGTTAATATTTGAAGACAAATTTATGGTGTATCAGTAGTCACCAGTCATAACCATCAGTCATAATTTCTGTGTATGTCCAGCTATGGGATAGTAGATTTGTGGTTAAAAGAGAAAAAAGAGTGACTTGAATTTCTTTAAAATTTTCTTGACCAAAATGTAAAACTAAACAGCTGGCAGTTGCTGTCTTGAGTGGGTGGTGGTTTCTCTTTTATAAGCAGCAGAATGTTCTGAATCCTCTGCCAGGAGTCTGCCGATATCTTTGGGTGGCAAAGTGGGCGAGAATATGGCTAGTGCAGGCAGGGGAAAACCTACTTTAGAAAAATTTCATCTATAATTTGGACCTACGTATAGAAAATAATGTGAGTGCACCATGACCAGTTATGACAAGCACTGTAAAAATAGGCAGATAAATGGAAAATATTTCCTTTTTTTACTGGAGTCTATTTTTAAATATTTAACAATCGTTAAAGAGTTTGGAAAGCAGTCTTCTTCCCACTCCACTTACTAGCCAAAAAAGGGGGAGAAAACAATGATTTTCAAAAAAAGGTGGCAAAGTAAATGCATGTTATAAAATATTTTAAACTTTTCTGTTGTTTCACATACAGGAAATGAGCATGCAGATTCTTAGAAACTCTGTGTCACTATCTTTCTGAAGTGTTAACAAAATTATGCTTTCAATTACCTGATGTTTAGAATCCTTTTTCTGAATAGGTATATTTTTATAGTTATAAAGCAAATTTTAAATATAGTTCATTTTGACAGTATTTCATTATGCAATCTAGAGAAGATTTTTTAAAGTGAGTGTTAATTTTAACTTCAAAAAACCTGTCAGTAAACATTAATTGATTTTATAATTAACTGTGATGCCTATTTAAAGTAGATGGTAGGTTTTTATTAATTATAAAGGAAAATATTTGGAATTTGGTGGGTTTTTTTTAATATTTTCTTCATTTACACCCCCTTTTATTTTCTATTGCTGGCTTGATATACAGTTTTTCTAATATCTCGGAAATCCCATGGTGAAGCAGGTCAGGGAATTTGTTTTTTCACCCAGGGAGACAGATGGTTTTTACATAGCTACAGGTAAATGGTCCTGAGGATCCACCTAGGCTTCTAAGTATGGTGCTAGACTCAGGATCAGAAATTCTATTTCTGATACTAGCATGGTTCCTTCCTTGCTGCATGTACTGCCATTCAGCTCCTTTGGGATCCCAGAGTCTATTTCCTTATTGATGAAATGGGAATAACACTTGTCCTGTTGACCAAAAGAAAATAAGGTAGTATTCCTTGGGTTTAGAAATCTACCAACAATTTGAATTAATTAAAATTAATACCTAGCAATTTGATCTAGAGTGCTCTGGAGGTCCATTTGGTTTTGGTTTTGTTGTTGTTGTTGTTGTTTTCCAATTCTTTCTTAGAGGAAGAGAAGGGCAGAGGATGAAGGAGAGAAAGACTCTAAAGCAGGCTTCACCCCAGCCTGATGCAGGGCTCAATCTCATAACCCTGAGATCATGACCTGAGCCAAAAATCAAGAGTTACCATTCAGGTGCCCTGGAGGGAAATCTAGAGTCCAGCACTTAACCAACTGAGCCACCCAGGTGCCCCAGAGGTCCATTTGGATTGAGTTAGGTTTAAGAGAAAGCTAAGAATAAGTAAACAATTTTGAAAGAGAAGAGGGTTACTTGCCATGCCAGATAGTAAGGGTGTATTTTACTACTATAACAGTTGAGGCAACATAGTATTGATGTGGAGATAGATAAAAAAGACCCAGAGGTAGAATAGAGTGCTCAAAAACATACCCATCCATTTATTGAAAAAACACATGTGGCATTAAAATGAGTGGGGGTATTCCAACCATAAGAAAGAAATAATGTGACATAATAGAGATGCTAATTATCATTACAATGGCAATCATATTACAATATATAAATACCAAATCAATATGTTGTACACCTTAAGCTTACATAATGTTATATGTCAAATATATTTCAATAGGAAAAAATTCAGTGCTGGAAAAATGTACTATATAATAAATGAGACCAGGGCAACTAGTTGTCCCCATAAGACAAAGGAAATATAAGTAGATAGCTTCCTTATACCATACATGCAAATAACAACCAGATGAATGACAAAGGCAAAACCTTGGGGACAGGAAGTGCATTATAGTTTTGTCTTTTTGGCTGTGCCAGGTAAATGGAAACAATATGTAACATTTTGAAACTATCTTCTTTCACTCAGCATTAATGCCCTTGAGATTCATCTATATTGTTGTCTGTATCCGTACCACATTCCATATATTGCTGTACTACAGTTTGCTTTTCCACTCATTTCTCTACAGTAAATGCCCAAAGTAGTATTGCGAGGTCATAAAGACCATATCTAGCTCTAGATATTTAACTTGGTAAGACGCTGCCAAACCATTTTCTGAAATACCCATATCATTTTCCATCGTCACCAGCATTGTATGGCAGTTGCGGTCATACTTTATCCGTGCAGCACTTGAAATGTCAGTACTTTTTATTTTAGCCATCTTAATAGGGGTATAGTGGATCTCATTAACTGCATATCTTTAATAGCTAATGATGCTGACGTATTTTCATGTGCTTATTTGCCACCTTTATGTCTTTTTAGTTAAGTGTTAAAGTCTTTTGCTCATTTTAAAAATTGGATGATTTTCTTAAGGTTTGTTCTGAGAGTTTTTTATGTATTCTAGATAAAGCCCTTTGTCATATATGTGATTTGCAAATTTTGCCTTCCAGTGTGTAGCTTGTCTTTTCAGATTGTCTTAAAATGCATTTCCCTGAGCAGAAGTTTCTGG